ATTTACCATAATCATTATTGAACAGAATAATAAACCAAATATGGATCCATCAGATAACAGCCTATCCTGGGAGGTATATTAAAATCACAATTGGAGAAGTACTTGTACAGAGTGTATGAACAGTTTTAGAATTTACTTTGGAAGGTATAGTTGCTGCCCTTATTTTTTTATGAAAATTTTTTACCACATTCACTCAAGTGCATTTGAATTGTATATGTGTATTCATGTTTTGTTTATGTGTTTGTTTCTTGAAAGAACTTACTCTATAACTATTTTGTAATTTATTCAGAAGATGTTTTAGTTCATTAGCTTACATGGTGACTAAAATTTTTAAGTTTATTCTAAGCTAGTAATTGACTTTCCACTTGCGTGATATTTTAATTGTGCGTGTGTGTGTGTGTGCATAAAATCAAAAAATATATATAATATATAGCATATATTATATAACATACATATATTATATATATAATCTAAGTGCTTGCAAATAATAATTCCTATTTGTGAGAAATATAAACATGTATTAGATTTTTAAAAAATAACACTTGGCCAATATGAAATAACATTTTAAAGTTATGACTATTTAAAATAACACTTCATAATGACATTTCAAAATAAGTATAACGTTTTCTATGATAGGAGTTTTAACATATTACCTAATTTTTAATTTTATTTGTTACTGTCGGCCTTATTTTATGTAGCATAAATTCATTTTAAGGAAATTAAATAACAGGTAAAAGCCAATACTAAGACTCAAAGTTGATTCTACATTCTCTAGCACACGCGCCCGGCGTGAGTTTAAGCCACCGGGTCCGGGACTCGAACCGCGGTCGACTACATGGGAGTCCAGCGACATAGCCATTACGCTAACAGCTGGTCCCCAAAGCCCAGAATATTAACCACTGACAACCTTATGGCATCTGTTTGTAGTAGAATTTGGGAATATATATATGTTTATATATATACATATATATATTCCTTTTCTCTTTGAGATTCAGATTATCCCTTTTCTGTTTGGGATTCAGATTATCCCTTTTCTGTTTGTGATCCAGATTTAAAGATAAAAGAATGGTGCTAACTAATTCTATTTAGATCAGTATGACTTTAAAAGCAGCATTTCAAAACTATATTAATCATTGGTTTATATGTCTCTAAAAGATAGTCTTGTCGGGCCAGTGGGTTGCATGATGATTAAGGAGCTGGACTCCCACATGACAGTCTGCAGTTTGAGTCCCAGACCTTGCAGTTTGCTTTCTCACTTTCCCTCTCTCTCATTTTGTCTCTTTCTGGTGAGTGTATGTACCCTATAGCAAATTGAAAAGTAATAATAATAATAATAATAAAATTAAATAATTCTTTTAAAAAAAGCTAGACTTGTTTCTAGACAGATCCTGAGTATGTGAAGTCAAATGTATTTATTGTATTAATTTTTAAGACTACCACAGAATATTTTTAATTTTAGTATGTGAGAAGTATAATTAATGAAGCATATTATTGTTTTATATTACAGGTGTCTATAAATTTTTTTTTCATTATATATTTTTATCTCTATATATTCTTCATTCTCCTCTCAGGATTTTGGGCATGCATACACATGCACCAAGCATTTTTCAAGCCACCCGATCCAAGACTTCAACTGCAGTCAACCACATGAAAGTCTAGTGACTTAAACATTATGCCATCTGGTGGTCCTATTTCCCTCTATATATCCTCACTTAATGGAAATGCATATATGATAACTTCTATAAGCTAAAATGTTGAGGGTTCTCTTAACCTAGTTACATAATATTTTGCTGAAGATCTTTTGGGGATTACTAAATTCCCAAATATATTGTGTCTGGAAGGGGGAAGAGGCACAGTTCCTGCCTCCCTCAAGTAGCTCTTCTTTAAACTGTCTATATATTGAGATTGCATGTGCAATTTAACTTGAAAGGAAAATTCTGTCACTAAACAAAAGATTATAAACACTGACCCAGGGACCAGTAGTTAGCATAATGGCTATGTTGCTGGACTACCATATAGTCGACCGCGGTTCAAATCCAGGACCAAGTTGCTTAAACTCACGCCGGGCATGTGTGCATGCGTGCCCAAGATCCCAAGAGGAGAATGGAGGAGATGAGATTGTGGCATGGCCAACCTCCCTGAGGGGTGATTTCTTGCTTTCTGTCTCTCTGTCTTTCTGGCAAGCGCACACACCCTATAGCAAAAACCTCTCCCAAAAAAATAAAAACTAAAAACTGACCCAATGACCTCTTTCCACATGGCAAAATATAATTTTAATTTAAACAGTGGATTTGTACCCATATCTATTAACTTTAATTTGAATCTATGCCTTACTCATGTCTAGAGCACCAACCATAGCTTTATAACCACACAGGTGTGGTGTAGGATAGTATAAAAATAAATTTAGTTAATTTTCAAAGCTAACTTCTATATTCATATTTGGTTTATAATTGTATTAATCAACCTGAATAATTCCACAAATTGGGGTTTATGAACAGGTGGTGTACGTTTTAGGGGAGGAAGACTGTGCATAAAGAGAATAACTGTGTGTGTGTGTGTGTGTGTGTGTGTGTGTGTAGTGTAAAGTGGAGAAAAGTCATCTAATTTTCTGGCCTAAGAAAAAGAAGAAGGAAGACTGCTTATAAATAGAACAGGAAACTTCAGGTGTCTGATGCTTCCTGCTCAGTAAATTAATGTCATGCAAATCTTGACACTATTTATGATATAAATATCCTAGAAATCTGACATATTTTCAAATTTCATAGTTCATAGCCCAGAAAATGCTACCTCTGGGCTAAGCCTTTTCTGGGTGGAGTTTCCCAGGGAACACAGTTTTAGCCACACATGGGAATAATTACAGATTCTCTGGGGATTTTCTTTAATGTTCCAACCTAATTATGAGAGTGGATTCTGATATCTCAGACTACCACGGGCTTTGCAAAAGCTCAGACTCTGTTTCCTCTATAGTAGTTCTCAATATATTGAAGGTATTTTGCTTAAAAGTTCATTATAGAAACATTGTTAACTTGACAGAGAATTTTAAAAGATGAAGAAAAATGAAAATGTTTTATTTTTCCTCTTTTACAGGCAGTCCAAGGGACTGTGATCTGTTTATGAATTATATAAGAAGAATAGGATTCATAATATATAAACTGGATAAGGACATCTGATCTACCTATAGAATCAAGAACGTTATATAATTAGTGACATCTTTAAAATGTGCCCTTTTATTTTCCTTCTTTGTACAAGTCTCACTAACTTTCTTTTCTATATATGTGATTATTCTTTTTTAATTTATTTACTTTTTTTATACATTCAATCACATTATTTAGCTTACCAAGTGAACATTTCAATATGTGAACATTTCTCCCCAGTCCAGTTAATCAAAATATCTTCCACAGATAACAACACTACTTCCCCATCCTGACAATGCTCTGCCTCCGTATCCCTCCTCCAAATGTTTTTCCCCAGGCCCAACTCCTCCACATACACCACATCTGGCATTCACATCCATCTCTTGTGTTTATACATCCTTTAGCCTGACAGTTTCAGTATAGAGTGCAGACTCGGTATGTATTAGGTGGGG